TTAGTGTGTTAAGGCTAAATGGGGAAAGTAGACGGTGACAATTCAGGCTACAGAAAGGCCGTTCGAGATCCATGAAGCTCATTATTCTGATGCCATCTACTTCACCGAACTGGCTGTCGAAGAAGTTCCCACCACCTCTAAGCCTCGAGGGGTCAAAATTCCTCGTTGGGGGGATATCAAAGATGACAAGGAGCTGATGGCAGAGTCAAGTAAGCGGGCAATGTCTAGACCAGAAAGTCCGCCTATTCCTCGGAAGGTGATGAAAGTTCGAGAAGGAGGCAAGATGGTGTACTATTTATGATGGTGCATGATGGCCACAACCCGAGCAGCTGGTGAAAGCTTTCCAAATGATCTTGCAAGTGTAGGGGCAAATTTCAACATTCCGTAGAAGAAGTCTATCTATGACATTTACAGTTTGCATTTACTGCATTGTCCATGAAGTTCTATCTTTCTTATGTTATGAAGAAATTTATTTCCTCCATATTATGTATCTCCATTAAAAGTTATTTTCTCTACATTGTATATCTTCATTGTGTTATGTTGCTTGAAACAGTTTTCAATTTTTTGTTGCCCCTCAAAGAAGAAAAAGGAATGGTAGACTCAGTTACCAACCTGAAGGGAGTTTTCTTGACACAGTAGAAGTATACTTCCACTCGGACCTCCGAAGAACAGCCCTTGATTTCATCAATACGAGCTCCGAGGATCTTTCTTTTCAAAGTAGAGTGAACTCTTACTCGAACTCCCGAGGGATAGCCTGTGCTTCTATTAGCTGCCGAAGTAGAAGTGCGCATCCACTCAGACTTCCGAGGGACAGCCTCGTTTCTGCTCAGACTTCTCGGGGACAGCCCTGTTTTCGCTCGAACTTCTGAGAGACAATCTTTACTTCTGTTGGTGCAAGCTTGGTAGACTCGGTTATCTTCCAGAGGAATCTTTCTTGCCAAAGTAGGGTGTGTGCTATCTTCGGACTCCCGAGGGACAGTCTTGCTTTTGTTCGGACTTCCGAGGAACAGCCCTTGCTCTCATTAGTGCGGGTTCCAAGGGCCCCGAGGTCGTGGATTTCAATCAAGATTTCATTTGCCTGAAATAGCAAAGCCAACAAATGAGACAAATCCCATATATATTTTTGCAAGCCCAAGTTCATGAACAACAAATATATATATATATATATATATATATATTCAAGAATGGGTTTCGGCAATCTGAAATAGCAACACAAAGAGGATGGGCCGATGACCGATGCCACGTTGAGAGGGCGGCATGGTCGGCATTGGATAGATCACAATTGAAGACAGTAGGTCGGCGGTGGCACGAGCTGTGCAGTGTTAGGCAAGACCACACACGTCGCGTTGAGTGGGCGGACGTGTGTGGTCAATGTCGGACAATCCGAAGCCAGAGGAAGCAGTGATGTCGCAGCGGAGTTGGTGACCACACACGACGCGTTGGAAGGGCGACGTGTGTGGTTGGCACTGGAACAACTAGGCAGACCGACACCACGTTGAATCGGTGGTATGGTCGGCGTTGGCAGGTCACGGCTAACAGTGATGGATTTCAGTGGGCGAGAAGGCATATCGACAGACCGACGCCACGTTGAGTGGGCGGCGTGGTCGTCACTGGTCAGTTGCGGTTGGGCACGAGACAGACAAGCCGCGTGAGTTGAGGTGGTCATGCACAGAGCAGCGTCGTGGTGGGTTCGCACAGAAGCCGACGGTGGCACTCGAAGGGTTCAACATCAGACCTGTATGCATGTCAAAATTATTGTCAAAATTATCGGCACATGACAAGTTTCAAAACATGAATTTCAAGACTACATTTATCATGCAAATCAAGATTCAATAGTGGCAATAGCTATTTCAAGAGAAAATTGCAGCATCAAAGTTCTATGCAAGTCGGGATCGTCAATAAAAGTCTCGAATCTCAAGCAAGGATTTGAAGATGTATATAATCAGAGCACTAGTCATGCCAAAAGCCAAGAATATAGATTCCAAGTATATATTTATACCATCAAAACTACTGTTGAATTGAAGATTCCCTTCTCTGTTACTATAAATTGAACTGGATCTAGTGCTCCTTTTTTCTCTGAGGCTGCTTCTCAGTAGCCAAGCTGTAAATCCAATAACCCAGAGCCAAGACGCGAGCGGCTATTAGAATGACTACCGTTAAAGACACAGCTTCGAGGATCCGTGGCCGAGTCGTTAATTGTTGTTGATTCGCCATTTTAGTATGGAAGGAGAGCAGTTGGGCAGACTGGCGCCGCGTTGAGTGGGCGGCGTGGTCGGCGCTGGCCAGGCGCGACTGGAAGCAGTAACGAGGTTGTAGTTGACGGACGTAAGGCGCGCAGGCCATGCGAGCTGGCTGGTAGCGTGCACAGGGGAGATCTACATCTGGCTCACTGGAGTGTTGCGCGATGCAAGGAAAGCTAGTCAGCACTGCTCAGTTGCGACTGGAACTGGTGGAGGTGGTCGCCGGCGAAGCAGGACCGAGATCTGGTGTATCCAAAGCTCAGAAGCTGCGTTATTAAACCAAGATGAAATACCGATAACGACGGGGCTTGGAGCTGCACAATGTGCAAACTGCAAAAAAAAAAAAAAAAAACAGTTTACAGATCTGAAGTAGTGTAGAAGAAATAAAAGAAATGGGTAGAGTAAGCACTGTGGAAGCAAGGCAGGGCCGCGACGCGAACGATGTGCAGCCAAACCGACAGCGACGCTGTTTTGGCGAGGTCAGAAAATGATGACGTCGGAGTGATGGTGGTCAGTGGCAGTGGCCTAGACCGGAGCAAGGCGGACAAAGATGGTGATGGTGCTTGGGGATGCGACGATGGCCAGTGTGCAAGCTGGTCACGGAAGCCTTTGGTTTGGTAGCTGCGAAGCATCAATTGAAGAAGAGCTGGGTTGGTCTTGTTCAAGAAGAAGAAAAGCTGGGTTAAAGAAGAAAGTGTATGCCATTAATTTAAAAAAAAAAAATAAGAGGAAGGAGAAGGTTGATCGGTTTCGGCGGCTGAACAAAAGAAAAGTTGTGAGGTTTAGGGTTTTGGACCCTTTCTTTAAATAAAATAAAAAAAGGTGTGATATATGGAATATGCCTCATATATTCTGAATGTATATATGCATATATATAAGAGGCCAACCTATTATTAAAAATATTTAGAAATTAATTTAATTGGATTTTATTTTCTTTGCTAGAAATCAAAATATATTTTCATGGGTTTCAATTCTTTGCTGAAAATCTAAACAAGTGTATATGTATACATATAAACATACTTTTGGTAAACAAATTGTTCCCATGTTTATATATTTGTATATATATACATATATCTGTCAATATATTTGTATGTATATATATCTGTTAGAAGAAAAAAAAAATTCTTCACATGTTTGAATGTATGTATATATATACATATATCTATTAAAAAAATTTAGAAATTAATTTAATTGGATTTTATTTTCTTTGCTAGAAATCAAAATATGTTTTCGCGTGTTTATATACATGTATCTTTTCTGTGGCTGTTCTTTGCTAGAACTGTGGATGTTCTTCTTTACATGAAAACATAATTAAGTATCTGTTTATGTGTAATAAAGTTGTTCTTTAGATAAAGTTCCCACGTGGTTTCAAAAAATGTTTTCATGTGTTTAAACAAAAATTCCTGTGGTTTTCTTTAGATAAAGGTCTTCTTTAGATAAATTACACAAACGACAGTACAGATTCCATCCCTCTCTGGTTTTCTCAACAAGATACTTGAGGGCATTATGGACATTTCAACGTATATCTTTGATGACATCAGCAGTTTTTGTTAGTTTTGTGAACGAAAGTTAAAAAATGGGAAAATCTGTACAATGTCAAGTAAAATATGGGAGATTACTGTAATTATTCAAACCATAGGGGAGGTCCTGTATTTGTCAAAAATCTCAAGGGAAGTAAATGTAATTTACCCAAAAATATACTAATATCAAAGATGCCAAAGAATCCATAATTTAATCCAAAAAAATCCCTTTTTTTTTTTTTTCCTTCCTTGTTATAGGAGTAGTAATTATGATTTGGGCTTAATTAGCAAAAAAACTGGCCGAAAAAACTGAAACGAAACGGAGCGAGAGAGAAGGGGGGCAGGCGGTCTTGATCGACTGGAATGGAAGAGTACAGAACGGTTCTTAAGGACGTGTTTGGCGAATCATCAGATAGCGAAGGCGACGAGCTGCATAAACACCAAATCCAATTCGAAAGTCCAAACAATGGAGTTCAATCTGAGTCCATCTTTGGGGAAAACCCCAGTTGGGAACGAGTTGCTGAAATCAATGGCCTGCGGCTTTGCAGAGACTTTCTTTCTCTTGATCAACAGTCTTCATTGCTCTCAACAATCGAAAACGGTACTTTCTCTCTCTCTCTCTCTCTCTCTGTCTCTTCGTTCAATTGCTTAGATTTTGTTAAATTTAATTTTTTTGGTTTGGCATTCAAAGCTATTCAACTATTGATTTGTTTCTCTATTTTATTCTCTATCTCTATATATGTATGAGACTAATTTATTTGCTTGGTATGATCGTTGATTTAGTTGCTTGGTATGATCGTTTCGATTAATATTTGAAATTGATATTGTAAGAGGGGCTAATTTGAGCCCACTAAAATTATTTAGGCCTAATAGCCTAAGATTAGTAGGGCCGAATTTATCGCAAGTCCAAGAATCGGTGGGCCCAGATTTATCGTCATCAAACGGATTGAATCGCTCTAAGCCTCGAAAGGGTTCGGATCCACGAACCTAGAGACTTACTCGGGCCCGGACTCGAAAGGGTATTAAGCAAGCCTAGAGATCTGAGGCACTCGGACTCGAAAGGATTCGGATCCACGAATCTAGAGATCCGAAGTACTTGGCTTCGAACGGATTCAGACGCAATCTAGAAGTCGCTTCGTTAATGAGTCCCAGAACACTTGCGGGCTCGGAGCTTTCCGGGATCTACGCACCAGAACCATGGGCGTAATGGAGTTCGAACAAAGGACCCGATCCCGAGGACGGTGAGTGGAGATAAATTCACTCTTCGGTTAAACTAGCCTATACCCAGGTCGAGGTGGCACGACCCTGGGGGGTCCATGAGACTCGGCAATATTTTGCGGCAGGACGTCCTCTGGGACTACCCCTGACCCTTTGGGATAATTGGGGATCATTGGTTAGGTGTGGCTAAGAAGAAGGGTTCGCCGAGGAAGTGATCTCCTCTTCGGGGTTTTCTCATCCTCGGAGAAGTCACCTCCTCGGAGAGGTCACCTTCTCGGACAAGGTGGTTAGAGAGAATATCTCCCATGTGCCTTGCACATGGGCTCCATCCTACATCATGAGGTGCCTATAAATAGCACCCACCCATAGCTTTACAAGGGATGGATTTTGGAGATTTTTAACTCTTGAGAAAGAACTAATTTCCCTTCTCCATTATCAACCTTGAGAGTGAAAGTGGGAGATCCATGGGAGAGCCTTGCCATTATTCTATTCTCTAGCCATTTTGCCTTCTTCTTCACCCAATCTCTTATCTCCATCATCTCCTTTGTTGTTGTGTTCTTAAGTTGAGATTATTGAAGAATCTAAGCCTCTCATCATATTCTAGAGAATTCGAAGTTGTTCTTCAAGGATCTTCGAAAATCTTCGAATTTTCCAATTCTTTTTCTTGAACCCTCTCCTACAGATATATGAGGGAATTTACCGAGGAGAAGTCATTACTAATGTATAATTTCAATTTTATCATCATGATCACGAATCTTGATTTTATTATTTGTTTAAATTATATTTGCTCATCTTCCGTTACTATCTTGGTTTGTGTTATTGAAGATAATGAGGCAGTGTTATTGTTTAAGAAAAGTTATAAACTTGTGATAAAAATTATGAATAGGGAAGTTATGATGTGCACCTAATGTTATGTTCTTTTGTCTAAAAGTCATACGTTGTTTGAGAAGCAAAAGAAACAAAGGTTATATTTTATGTGAATAAAGAAGTTACAGTTTTTGTGACAAAAGTTATTTGATAGATCATTATACTTTTTGCATATGTAGCCTTTCCCTATTGTTTATATTATGTTCTTGTTTCTTTGTTCACACACATATATATACACTTTCTTGTTACTTTTTGGTCAAAAAAAACCACCATTTTATTATTCAACTTCCATGACCCAAAATTTTGGCTCTTGAGTACCCAAGTAATGTTGGGTTTTCTCCAGTGTTTGTCATAGCTGATTTAGTTACAAGGCAGATAGAGAATGATAGGTCTACTTGGAGGGGACTCTATAGTGCCTAAATTTTTAGTATTCTAAGCAGCCAAAAAATGACACCCTCAGTTAAGAGTCACATACATTCTATCTGGATTGGAAATCAGAAATTCAAAATTTTGCATTTGGATCAAGTTTGGTCCAGTCACGCGCATCTCACTACACGCCTCACATTGTCAAGTGTTTTTCTATGGGCAAACACTCATGCTCCTATGAATTTAAGATGAAAAAGTTGTTGCTGTTCAAGGTTGTTTTTAGGCACACTCCATCATTTAGCAAAGTAATTGGTTTATAGCTTTATGATATTAGATCATTCTTCAATGCTGCGTTTCTTATACAGCTTGATGTTTTCTTACACACATGATGAATGTATCCCAAAGGTTTCTTGTCTTATATGTAATTGTCATTCCTTTGGAAAAATTAAAAAATTATTCTTTATTGGGTTGATAGTTAATGCCGATCTCTTATATGCATTTTTAAATTCAATTGTGGGTGCAGAAGGATGGTTTACTGAAGCCTCTCACAATCAGGTTTGACATAGCCTAAACCTAATATCTGATTACTTTACATCTCTTTTATTTGGCCTGTGGCTATCTATTAATTGGCAACAATAAGCGTAGAGATGAGTTAATGACATACCTACTATTTGTTACATGCTTGTGAAATGCTTTACTAGAATTCATTTAGCAGTACCAATTGTATGTCAATTATAGTGTTTCAGAACTTGCCAAGCTCAGTTGATCCTTAGCCAAGTTAACTTCACTCAATTGTTTGTATAGCAAAATCAGTAAAAATCCATGTAATTCGTATTGGGCATTGATACTCCTCATATATATACTGATATTTATCCCATACTTCCTATATGTATGCACAATATATATATAGAGAGAGAGAAGTATCAGATACTTTTTGGATGCTCTAGGTCATGTATCCGAAGTATTATGAAATTGAAGTTGTAATAATTCTTATATAACATAAGAGTATAATTGTTAGGATAAAGACGATAATATTTTTTCAATTCTTTGCTTACTTCTTAGAGAAAAGAAAGTAGTGATTAAAGTAAATTTTACTTTTTTAGAGTTTATCATTATTGACGTATCATTGATGTGTCACATGTTCCATATTTGGTAGAAAGTAAGGATAATGATACTAAAATTGGATTTCGATATGTAAACAAGCAAGCACAATTGTGTGCAACACTCCAACTGTAAAAGGGAAAGCACAAGGGCAGTATAAACAGCTTTGTCAATTTACCTTTCAAATTGACGGTGTGGATTAAAATTGCATGTTGAACTCGTTGAATCACATGACAAAGGCATCCTTTTCAGTGACTAATTATGGCGGTCTAATACATGTGTACATGCTACTATCAATTAACATTGGTCATACTGTTTATACATTGCATGTAGATTTGACAGTTTTGCAGTTAGTCTTGCATATGTTTATCCTGGAGGCTTTTGAACTTCTTGGATTCCATTCAGTGCAGGCTATGAGATTTGGAGATCTTCCAGTATGGGCAACTGAGCTTGCTAATTTAGTTCGTGAGGTGGTGCATTTTAGTGATTATGTTTCTGAATTTGTGGACATAGCAGCTTCTGACGATGGTAAAAATGCCTATCTTTTCCCATCAAAATTACTTTGGAGAGAGCCTCTCTTTGACCAACTAATTATCAACTTATACCAACCAGGTGAGGTGCGATATCATTTTTTGAAATTTTAAATTGTATCTGTATTTGAGACGGACTTAAAATGAAACTTCTTTCTCACACTTGTGTAAATCTGGTAGCAGCCTTCCATTTGACATCAGTTTCCTTGTGAGTTGCGGTTCATTTGAATACAACACATGCTTGGGCCAAATTTTTCTTTTTTAAATATATACTCTCGTATTATTCTGTTGCATTACTCTATAATCAATCTTTAATGATTTTGTTGCATGCAAAATTACCCTTGGGCATTTTTACACTGGTAAAGCTCTCATTAGCTCCAATTGAATGTGTTATTGGCCGAATGTGAAGATAATTGAGATGACAGTGCTGGCTTCTGGATGATGTGCAGGGAATCTGCGCACATGTTGATCTTATGCGCTTTGAAGATGGAATTGCCATTGTCTCCCTGGAGTCATCTTGCGTGATGCATTTCAGCCGAGTTGAAAGTGACGCCGGCATTATTACAAAGGAATCAGAAGGTGATCCACACAAGGCCAAGATTCCTGTGTTTTTAACCCCAGGATCTTTAGTCTTGATGTGGGGAGAAGCCCGCTACCTTTGGAAACATGAGATAAATCGAAAGCCAGGTTTTCAGAAGTGGGAGGGGAAAGATATTGACCAGAAAAGAAGAACCTCCATTACTCTAAGGAAGCTTTGCCACAGCGAGTAGGGTGCCATAGCACTTCAACATATGAATGAATCGTTTTATCATGTTCTGTGAACTTCAATGGAGAACAGTGAGCTTAGTTTGTATGTTCCCATAGTATTCTTAATTGTTGGATTATGAGCAAACTGTTAACGTGGTGTTTTGGATTTGAAAAGGCCGTCTTATTACCTTGGGATTGGAAGGCAAATCTAATTCAAAATTATACACTTTCTTGTTTTTTTGGTGGGAAAGGGGCAGTTGCCCCGTTTACTTTTTACAAATCATATTCTCACCTGTAATTTTTAAGTAATTTACAATATTGCTACCATTGAAAGTTTTATAAATAATAAATTTGCCTGTCATTTATTTATTATTTTTAAATTTGCCACTCAGTTCCATCAATCTTTAACCTTGAGCTATTTGAATAAAAATTATAATTTTGAGAAAAATAAAATAAAATGTGATTCCAAATACTCAAGTTTCCATCATTTAAATGAAACTATAATGGGTATGCAATTCTTAATTTCTCAATTCAACTGAAAATAAGTTTATTGAAATTTAAAGTAACCGTTGAATAATGACTAATTATTGAATTGTAATAAAAAAGAATTGAAGGGGATTTTCGTTCTCATATTTATTAAGCTTGGGATTCAGTTATGTAGTCGAGTTGGCCCAACTCAGAGAATAATAAATTTAATTTTTTGTTTTATGTTTATTATTCTTTATCTATGTAATGTATATTTGTCAATAAATCTTATCTCATAAATAAATATTTCAATTAATCTTAAGTTTCTTTATTGATATGTTATATCCTATTTGTAGAGAGTTTCTTTTCGTATGGTCTTATTTATTTTTTTTTATTTTGGTAGTGTTTTAGTAGACAATTATACCATTTTATTAATGTGATAGATACAATGTGATACTCTAATACAACAAGTATGAATGTGACACCCCAACGATGTAACAGTCCAAAAAAATTAAAAAAAATTTAGTGTACTTTTTTTAAATGTGACAACGTTGTGGATATGATGTAAGACCAAAAAAAAAATTCTTTAGTGTATACTTTTCTCAAACGTGACAACGAAGTGGGTATGATGTAACACTCTAAAAAAATTGAAAATTCCTTACAGTATTTTTCCTAAATGTGACAATGTGACGGGTATGATGTGACACTTCAAAAAAAATAAAATTTCCTTAGTTTACTTTTATCAAACGTGACAACGTGACAAGTATAATGTGACACTTTAAAAAAAATAAAAAAAAATAAAAAACTCCTTAGTATACTTTTTCCAAACGTGACATGTGACACTTCAACGTGACGGGTATGATACGACACTCTAAAAAAATTAAAAATTCTTTAGTGTACTTTTCCCAAATGTGAGACTCTAACGTAGTGTATATGATGTAGCATTAAAAACTTTTTAGTCTATTTTTTCAAATATAACACTCCAATGTGGCAGACAAATGAGTTTTTACACATCTAAAAGGACTAAATGAATTACAAGAAAAAATATGAAACCATATAAATTATAAGTTCAAAATATGAGATTTATTGATCAATATTAAGTAGTAAATGGGGAAATGGTACTACAATGTTTTTTTTTTTTTTTTTTTTTTAAAAAACTTTGGGGTGTTTTCAATGGCTTCGTTTGGGAAGTTGTTATTTTAGTAGGCTATTTTAGTTTTTGACTATTTTAGTAGGCTAAAATTTTTGTGCTTAGGAAGATGATTGGATTTTTTTATGATTGGATGTGATATTTGTGAGAGAAAAAGTGAAATGATTATGGATTTGATGTGATATTTTGTCTTATTAACTATTTTAACCTATTTTGTCTTTTTGTGAATTTTAGCCTAAATTAGGCTATTTTTTTTCTTCCCAAACACCCCCAATGTTTCATTACCAATGAAACATTTTGTTTGGAAGACATAAAATGACGACGTTTTAAGGAGAATGGGATGTGTTTTGAAAGTGTAGAATACTACATCGTATTTTAGTCGCAGCAAATCCCAACCCTTGGACTGCTTCTCTCTCATCTGAAGTCACGATCCGGAGGTCCAAGTTCGGCATCAACCACCACCGAGCACCACCACTACTCCACTACCCACAGTATTCTCAGTCACCGGAGCCTTCGACATCGCACTACGGTGGGGTTTTGACTCACCGGAGAGGCACCGGAAAAAGGTTTTTTTGCCAGAGCAGCAGAGTTAGGGTTTTGAATTCTTCCTCCAATATTTTCATATGTTGTTGGATTTTTCTGTGAATTTATTAATGCTTGAATATGAAGAGAAAACGTTGTGAATATGTGATTCGTGATTCATTTTGGCTGTTGGAAATATGTTTATCAAATTTTGTTCTTTTGTGTTTTTGAGCTTTTTCTTTGTTGTTTAACATTTGGGCAATTTTCATAGAGTAATCAATTAAAATAGAAATCTTTGAAGTTATTTTCCCATTTCAAATATTGGTCTTCTGTGATCCTTGTTGTCGCTGTTGATCATTTGGGCAATTTCCTTCCTTGTGTTTTCTAATCACTCAATGACTAAAACTGCTTCATGATCATACTATGTGATTTGAAGACACGTCACGCGTGTGTGTGCGTGCTAGTACAAATAAAGTTACCATATGAATTTTTCGATGGAATTATTCAATTGTTTTAATTCATTCAGTTGAAACAAAAACTCTTATCATTGTAGTTGAAGCCTTGACCCAACAATCTTTTTTTGAATGTGACCATATAGGACAGTGCTTTGAAACTGAGATCATTGCGTAGAATGGAGCTCCACTACCTAGCCTTGATCTAGCCACTGTTCCCTACAGAGGAGAGAGCCGTTCCGGTGAAGAAGCCATGGCAGGCCGATCATCCACCAAAGATAAACCCATACACAGATCAGGGACTTCTGTTCATAAACTTTTCAAAAATCCAAATGTGGGCTTTGCTTTCGCTTTGCTTTTCATTGATGCACTCCTCGTCGCTCTAATCATCGCCTACGTTCCCTGTAAGAGAAAACCCTCATTAGCTTTATAGTTCTTTCTCTCTTTCTCACAAATTGTTTTTTTAACATATCTATTGCAATATTTCCAGATACAAAGATTGATTGGGATGCCTACATGTCACAGGTGGGTGCCATTTGTAAAACTTTATAAAGCAAATTTACCATGTTTTTGGGCTTTATCTGTGTGATGTACATTTTTCGTTCAATTTATAATGATTGACAAACAGGTGAGTGGGTTTCTTGAAGGAGAGAAGGATTACAGGAACTTGAAAGGTGACACAGGCCCTCTGGTTTACCCATCTGGTTTTCTTTATGTATACTCTGCCATACAGTTTGTTACAGGAGGGCAGGTCTTTCCTGCTCAGGTAATTTTCTTATTTTTCTTCAGTTCACCCTTTTCAAATTTGTGAGCACACTGAATGGATCTTTGTTTAAAGTTAAGGAAATTAGATGTATCAGAGCGGTAACATTGCAATTTTATATATGTATTTCTTCTAGTTAGTTATTGGTAATAGTTGCATATGTTGAATTTTAATGTTTTTCTTCGTGTTTTCGCCAACAAGCATGGGCAGATTTTACTTGATGGAAAAGAATAAAAAATTTAAAATATGTTACTTAGCAAATTTATCCTTCTCAATCAAGAAGTTCATTAGTCTTTAATTTTGTGAATAGCTATTGTGGAATTTTCCTTAGAAATGCAGTGGAAAGCTGAGAACTTAAAAAAAAAAAAAAAAAAAAACAGGGCAAGGCATCATGGAAATGATATATGTCTTAAATTGATTTCCTAGTATTTATGCAGCAAAAAATATGGTTAAGAACATCGATACTAAATACTTTTTAGTAAAGGGACATTGGATATAATATAAGAATTTGGTGGTGTTATTCATGCGTGACATAACACATATCTCATATAGCAAGGCTCACTGTAATAACTATACTCAATCAAGTTATTTGACCCTAACTAAAAGGAAAGAAAGAAGTTCTTTGGATGTGACTCTGTTATTTGAAACCAATAGTCTTTAATAGTCTCATGGATTCCAGGTTGCAGTCATATGCTATGGATCACCTTAGTGCCAATAAAATATTTCTTTTGATTATTGGCTTATAATTATATGTTATGGATAAATCAGCTATTTTTTGTGTATTGTTGGTGTTGCACATGAACATACTACATGCTAACATCTTCTACTATTTCATGTCAGTGCAGATTCTATTTGGCATTCTCTACATTTTAAATCTGGGAATTGTCTTGTACATCTATGTGAAGACTGATGTGGTATGGAACGTTCCTTGTGTTATCTAAAGTAATAAAGTTTGTTGTACTTGGGCATGTGTTATAATTTTGGGATGCTTGACTAGTCAAACCCACTTGACGATTCTATCAATAAAAGAACAAGAAAAAAAAAAAACTGAATCCTGATTTGATATGTTTAAGATCTTGCAAAGTGCTTGACAAAGGTTGCAACTCCCGAAGATAAGAACTAGGGATGCATTTTGTTGTCTTAAAGCTTGTGCAAGTATACAACTAATATGTGCATGGTTTTGTTAGGAGGGTGATTAGCCTGGGCCTTTGGCCTAGTGGTTGCGGAGCACCACTTTGTGGTGTGAGGTTGCGGGTATGATACCCTTTATGTTGCCTCTACTGATGTATACTGTGTGACAAAAAAAGAAAAAGAAAAAGTTAGGAGGGTAATTATTGAATGTCAAATGAATAATTTCAGTGTCAAAATTTTACTACTGTGTTTCATTTTAAACTGTCTGGTTATCATTTTGCACTAGTGGGCAATATTGGACCCTAGGATCTATCAAGGTGTTTTCTTTGGAAGCTAATGGATATTTAACAACAATGTAATCACCTTTTTCTACTCCTATATCATGTCTTGCTTGTATGCTCAGACCATTCATTACCTGTGAAGAGTGAAGCAGAATGCTCAAACATGCATCTTTGAAATTCTTTTTATTTTCTGTCTGGTTGCAATACAGTTGACATCAGATTTTTCCTTTTGATTCTTTTTGCGAAGGATTGAGTGTTGAGTTCTTGTTAGAACTTAGAAGGTTCGTTTTTTCTTTCTTGTCATATATATTTTTTTTCCTTATTGCTAGGCTACGAGAGTTAGGAAGAAAGCAAGGACTGTCAAATTACTACTTTAAAATGTGATATTTCTTGTTGTACAAGGACCATAAGATTATTTTTCATTTTGATTGTGTAACTTTGTAGTCCTAATATACTGCAATCCCAAAGTTTGAACTTAGTTGTTACTGTACTGTAAGAATAATCTTGATCATGAATGAAATGAAGCAGAAAACTTAATGGTTGACCCTTTTTTCAAATTTTCATTTGGAAGTTTGAATGTATCTGGTTTAAGGATACCATATATTTTGTGAGAAGAATACCTCCTTCTTCCCCCCTCCTCTCATACACACATGGATATGTATGCACACACGAACGCATGCTCACACACTTTCTTAATAATGTTACAAGTTCTTACTTTTATGTATCAGAAACTACTCCATGCTGCATTAATGGTTCTCTTATATCTTGCCTTTTATATGTCTTGCATTACTATTGAACTTCCTTGCAGCTTCCATGGTGGGCCCTTTCCCTGCTTTGTCTATCAAAAAGAGTGCACTCCATCTTTGTGCTTCGTCTTTTCAATGATTGCTTTGCCACGACTCTCTTCCATGCTGCACTGGCCTTACTTCTTAACCAAAAGTGGCATCTGGGTTTGATTATTTTCAGGTGATATCTTAATCAATTATTCAACTTCCAAAACACTAAGATGGGTTTGATTTGACTTTTGTCATGATATTATTACAGTGGAGCTGTTTCGATAAAGATGAATGTGCTTCTTTATGCTCCACCTTTACTATTACTCATGTTGAAGGTACATCAATCTGTGTTTGGCTTTATTTTTTGAAAAAAATGAAAGTATATTTCAAGAGTGTTATCTGTTTATAGCATATAATTATTGAAGCAACGATTTACATAGTACAGGCTATGGATATAGTAGGGGTGTTTTCAGCTTTAGCAGGTGCAGCGATTGTGCAGGTGCTAGTTCTTACATTTTTTGTTTTTGTAAATTGTTGTGCATCATAATACACAGATGCACGTAGAATGATATTAATATTAAGATTTTTTTGGGCAAACCTGAGTCTTTTGCTACATAATGCATCTGACTGCTGGTTTTTGTGGATGCATTTTTGTTTTCATCTATCCACTGTTTTGTAAAGCACATGTAGTGTTCTTTATTGAGGAAGAATAATCAACATATTTTCCTCTTCTGCAATCTGATTAGGTGAGTTGGACTGCAACTGCAATTAACATGTGATGGAGCGAATTGTCTGATCAAGATGTTTATTGTTTTCCCAAACCATTTGGCATATGGTTCTGCAGATTCTGTTGGGGCTGCCTTTTTTATTAGCGCATCCTATTGCATATATATCAGGAGCTTTCAATCTTGGGCGTGTCTTCATCCACTTTTGGTACACTTTTTAACCTGATAAAAATTGCGTACAATTGTAAGACATTAGCCACCTGAAATGGAGATAATTGTTTTGTTAAATTAATGAATGGCATAGGCAAATAGAGATCTTAGATTGTTCATTATATGATATTCTTTGGAATATTGCTAGGAGATCAACCCAAATATAACAATGGGGGTGTTTGGCAAAGGCTTTTTTTGGGCTTTTTGGGCTAAAATCCACAACAAGACAAAATAGGATAAAATAGCCAATAAGACAAAATGTTACATCAAACCCATAATCATTTCACTTTTTCTCTTACAAACATCACATCCAATTACAAAAAAATCCAACTATCTTCTCAAACACAAAAATTTTAGCTTACTAAAATAGCCAAAAATTAAAATAGCCTACTAAAATAGCAACTTCCCAAACACCCACAATATTAGACATGTGTCCGGGAGTGTCCAAGGAGTGTCTGTGTCTGACTGGACACGTCACCTTTTTAGAAGTGTCTGTGCTTCTTAGGTTTGCATATATATGATTTGAGATTATTAGAACTATTTGTCTAATGAAGATGGTTTTCTCGTGTTCCTTTCGGAACCATAAGTATAATTTGATAAGCTACACATGAATTTGGTTCCTCCAGCTACCTCTCTTTTTCTTTTTCTTCTTCTTGTGTGGAGGCTTTGCCTACTTGTCATTTTGCCTTCAGTGCAACATAGGCCAGTTGCTTGTGAGATCACCCCCTTTCCCCCCAATCGTGAGTCAGATAAAATAGATTCAAAGTGCTTAATAACTCAGGACTTATTAGATGCTCATCTTTGCCATTTGCCTGCCACCCTCTCTGACAATGTAGTGACCATGTAGAAAATTTGGGGTGTACTACTATCTTCCTGAAGATGACTTCAAGCCATTAGATTACTTCTCAAGGAACTCTAGATGACCTTGAGCCATTAGATTTTTCATCTAGAATTTCTTAACATGTGGAAAGCACATATGATACACTCAAGTAGACAAAATACCAAAGCAAAGAAAAAAATAACAAAAAGTTGGATATCTTGCCTACTACTGTCTTGATTGAAGTCTGTCAGTGTAAATACATCGACTATTGTTGAACAACAGTTTTAAATAATCAGATAAACCTTTTTCATTGCTATAATATCATTACTTCCTATTAAGGTTGTTGATTTTTTCCAGATTTCGACTTCTGAAAAAACCAGTTAAATTTATACAATCTCATTTTGATGTTGCTTTAGAACTCTGCTTTAGTGTTTATTGTGATATAATGCTTGTTTGTAATTTTATTTTATGTTCTTTGTCCAAGTAAGTTGATTAAAAACTGACTTCTCATCTATTGATTAGGTCTGTTAACTTCAAATTTGTGCCTGAACCAGTTTTTGTATCAAAGGAGTTTGCGGTATCTTTGCTTATTACTCACCTGATACTACTTGCAGTGTTTGCCCACTACAGATGGTGCAAGTAAGTAGATCTTATGCTCTTCATTGTCGGTAAATTAAATGAAGGGAAGTGGCAATGACGAGATATTGAGATTAAGAAAAACTCTTGCCTCTTCCTGTACCAAATTCAAAGTTTAAATAACATAGCTCAGAATTGTTTCCAATTTTGGTATTGCTTTCTGCTTTTGGATAAGATAATTGGATTATTGGCTATAGATGTATTGCGTGTGTGCATGAGCCCTTGTAGAGGGTACTCACACAGTTGTTTGGTTTGATGGAAAGATGGGCACGTGGAACTTGGAAATTTAAAAATAAAATAAAAGGGGTAGACAGAGTAGTAGGTGGGCATGAGAAAGGACTACAAAAAAAACAAAAAACTAGAAACTGTGTTTCTTCGGTCTAGGACACTAGTTTCTATTTTTTTTCCTCCCATCAATATTCTCATGTCGGTAGTTAAGTCAATTTATTTGAAGTTATGTTCTCATTGTGTTTGTTTTTGGCAGGCATGAAGGTGGACTTTTCAATTTTTTGCATTTGAGGTTTGTCCCTGTGAAGCTAAGGGTTGTTGATAGTCAATCTACCATCAAGCTTCTAAATAAAGAGCGTAAGTCATAAACCTTCTCCTTTCTAATGTTCTCGTTAACTGTTTCCTTCATTTGTTTCAAAAGCTCATTTTTTTGAGTCTTCTATATTATTCCTTTTTCTGAATTGGAGACTAAATATGGATATTGTAATTGATTCAGATATTGTGACTACCCTGTTTGTTGGGAACTTTATTGGCATTATATGTGCCAGGTCACTGCATTTTCAGTTCTACTCATGGTAAGTATTTTTGGACTAAATTCTTTTCTAATTCTTGTAAATCTAATAGCTAAACAAAAGTACTCCAACAACGATCTGTTACCTTCATATTCTCATTCTATAGGATGCGCACCAAGTTGTACTAACAACAAACAAGCAAAAAATGAAAAAGAAGTGTACCTGATGCCTTTTCTTTTGTTCTTGGTGCAATATAATTTATACTTTATTTCATATTTTATCATACCTGTGTTACATGGGCTCGGGCAATTGTGTGTGTCCAAGTCTCTGACCTTTATAAAACCTAAATCTTAAGATATTGGGATGTGTATCCAAAAGTTGGATACAGATACGGGGACATGCCATGGATGAGACTTTGATGTTGTAGTTATACATTGAGGAGACTTTGGGTTAAATTCTAACTACTAGATTTTAATTTGTTAAGAAATATTCGTGTTTAGTTAAGATTTTCCATCTGCAGGTATTTCTACAGCCTACCATATCTGATGTGGAAAACATCTTTTCCTACTTTACTACGGTACGTTGATCAGACCTTTCTTTTTTCTTTTTTTATATGGATAATTTTTCTACCCCGGTGATTCGTTGATCCACTTGGTGCCGTCTATTGTGCAGTTTAATGTTGTTTGTAGTGGTGGAGTTTTGCTGGAATGTCTTCCCATCGAATGACTATTCATCCGCCCTGCTGCTTTGTGTTCACTTAATTATACTATGGGGCCTGTGGACTGCCCCAGCTGAGTATCCTTACGTGGATAGTAAACCATTGACTAAAAGCAAGAGAAAATGATATCCTGACCTCGGAGCTACTTCTATATGATCTCCTTTGATTTTACCTTCCCAAAAAAACAAAAAAAATAGGAATCTATGAACCAATTTTGTCTTATAGATTAAGTTGAATGTTAGACACAAGTGTATTCGAGCTTTCTTCATATTGTTTTTTTTGTCACCTGACGACTAGTGTATTTTTATTTTCTTTATTTTTTACCCTGTTTGTATCTTTTGGGTAAACTGTTTCTTTTAGTCCAAGTGGATGAGATTTTCCAGAAGTGGGTAGTACGAACAAATTTGGTAAAATACTATTTATTCATGTGTTTTTGTGTTGGTGATAGAACTATTTTTCAGTAGAAAGTCTTGAGAACATAAGCTGGATAACGGATAAAGATTTTTTCAAGTGGGTCTTACCAGTAAATTTTATGAAATTTTATTTATTAATGTATGTTCTTTGTTGATTTTTGTATTTGTTTTTAGTGTTCATCATATATATATATATATATATATTTCTTTTTCAATTGATATTCCCAGTGTCCAAATGGGAGTTTTTCTTTTTTATTTATGTTTGGGAACTACATATTTTAATTTTGAAGTAAAAAATTATTATAAATTGTTTAATTATTATTATTTTTTTATTTTTCTATTTTGTAAAAAATTAAAAAATCATTAAAAAAATTGATAAGTCATATGAAAAAGGAATATTTAAGGGGATGTTTGGGGTGTTCTAAATAAGTGTATTTTTTGATTTTTTGGACTAAAAAGTTGAAAAAAATATGGTTGTTTGGGATAATTTTTTGACTTTTTACGAAAAAATGTATATTAAAAAATTGTATAAATTAGTGTATAGGAGAAGATTTGAGGGAATAGGTTGTACGATCCGGTGAAGTCAAGGACAGTGTCGGAGAGTAGTGCTTGGGAGATGATTCTCTACTTTTCGGGTATTGAATTGAAGGTGTTGTTCAGTCCGTGGAGGCCCACCACAGATCCTATTTTTCTAATTAAAATCGTTCAATGTGTAGAATTCTTCGATTACTATATTCTTGTAAAAAATCATGTTGATTGGATATCGATCGCTATCTCATCGGATTAGTTTGTTTTCAACCGTTAATTATAACCTCATCCATTTTATAAATTTTAACTTATTTGATCATATAGTTACCGATATCTGATCAACGTGATTATTTACAGGTAAATAGTACTTGACGAGTTCTACACATTGAATGGTTTAGATTATTAAAAAGAGATCCGTGATGAGCCCCCACGGACCGAACAGTATCATGTTATTTGTACACCGAAACAAAGTAATTATTCCCAAAAGTCAATCCACCTGCTCTGTCGTCAGAGTTGTTTGAAAAGTAATTTTGTGTAAATTAATTTTTTAATATTTTTTTAGATGAATAGTAATACCTTTTTAACTTTTTGAATAACTTTTTAATTTTTTGACTTTTTTGTAGGTACCCAAACCATGCCTTATAGTCTAATATTTCTTTTCAATTTTTAATAATAGGTAAAGTTTATAATATTTTTCTTGTTGTTGCCTGAAGTCTTTCACCCACATTCAAATATCACATCCACTCTCTCATTCTCTTTCATCTCTTCTTTTTCTTTTCCTCTCTTCATCGTAATCTCATTCTCCGTCAAATTTTGACTTCAACGAGTGGTCTCCACCGCAATAGCTTCTTGTGCATCTGCGGAAAGAACCAAGTCTAACTGCCTTTGTTCTTCCAAACAGGCCTTTTCGTGCGCATCGCTTTAGAGGTTCTTGGAATCCCTATGCGAGCCTTTAGTAATGAGATCAATGTGGCGTACCGGAAGCTCGCTAGGATTTGCCTCCCCGACGTTGCTGTTGTAGACCGGACGATCTCATTGGCCGACGACTTTATGAAGATTTGCTCTACTTATTTTACCGATATGTGCAGATATATATATATATATATATGTGTGTGTGTGTGTGTGTGTTGTTGATTTGGATGATTTGTATATATATCATCATCACCAGGTTCATGGTGATGATATATATATATATATGTATTTATTTCATTTTATCGAGTGTTGTCTATGTTCAATTTTGTAGTTCAAATTTTTTTCTAATTTGGTCAAAACACAAATAAAAATTATGAATAAATCATAGAAAATTAGTCAAAATATAGAGAAATTTGTAAGTAAACTGAGAAATTTCAATCCCAGAGAAAATTTCAAAATACAGAGAAATCAAAGAAATTGAGCAAAACAAATAAATTTCAATATACAGAAAAGTTGTCTAAAATTTTTCTGTTTTTGAAATTTCTCTAGATCAAAATTTTTTTAGAAAAATATTGAGAGACTCTAACCATTATGAAAATATTACATGTCCTTTATCTTTTAAAATCTTAATATCAAGAATTTAAAAAAAAAATTCCCAAAAAAAAGTCAATCTATTTGGAAGAGCTTTAGAATTGTGATTTCAGCTCTTAGTTTGCATATGTGTTTGGTTGTTGTTTTTAAAAATTAATTCCACACTCACTTTTGAAAACTCCGATTCTAAAAAGGGAAAATTTGGGCTAACCGATTGTCCATTGGACGTCCCACCGGTCGTCCGGCAATTGACCGGAACAATGCATTTTTTTTTTTTTTGCAATTGACACATGTTAATTTTTATATACTCAATAAAAAATATTTTTGAATTTTAAAAAAAATTTATGAGTTTTGAATAGAATTTTGAGTTGTGTGTTTTGTTAAAGTTGTAAGTTTTTATATCAAATAACATATGACACATAAAAAATTCTTACTTAATTCAAACTCATTTCAAAACTCATTCACCAAATAAATTTTCATACTAACAATCATAATTTCAAAACTCACAAACTCAGAATACAATTTTAATTCTTAATCATATTTAGAAAATTCTATCAAACCCAACTCAAATTTTTTCTTCCTATTTTGATTTTTTGAAATAAAATCAAGAAATGCAGATGTTGCTTGCTTTACCGAGCTTTGATTTTGAAATTTTGAACACAAATGGCGCTCTTTGGTTTCAATGGACAGAAATGCCCAAACTGGATCTCTGATTTGGTTTCGAATTTTAATTTTTCACTGACGAAAATGCCCACGTGCTAGGTAAAAGGAAGAAGAATAAATGATGAAAAAGCTCAAAAGGCTTTGAGGCGTTTTGGGAATTTGTTAAAAAAACAATGGTTCGTTTGGTAGAGTTTTATAATATATTTGAAGTATAAGTTGTATTTTGAATTTGTGAGTCGTGGAATTATGATTTAAGTATAGAAAATTTGTTTGGTTATGATTTTTGAATAGAGTGTTGAATTGATTTTGAATTGAGTGTGAAATTAGAGTTTTGAAAGCTTGATTTGACATGTGAAGTAGAAAATTTTTTGGTTATGAGTTTTGGAAAGAGTTTTCAAAAATTAATTCAAATTGTTATACCCATAACAAAACAACTAACTTTCACACTATTAAAAATTCTGATCAACACTCATAACCAAAACTCTTTTTAAAATTCAATTAAAAAAATTTATTATTAACAGAAATAACATTAATGCATTTTTTAATTGAAAATACTATAAAGGATATTATTTTTTCAAAATAAATATTCAAAAATTAAATTATAAATATTTAAATAATTTAAATATTCTAAAATTTAATAAGTAAAAAAATTAAAATAAATATTCAAAAAATTTAAATTGTAAAATTTAAAAAAATTAAATAATTTAAAATGTTAATATTTTAAATTTAAAAATACACTCTACACTCAAATTGTAACTAAGCACAGAAAATAAAACTCAAATTAGCCTCCGTTTGGGAAGTGGGTTGGCTTTTGCTTTTTGGCTATTTTAAGCCTGGGCTAAAAAACTTGGTTTGGGAAGGGCTTTTTGGCTTTTTGACTTTTTTGACTTTTTTTGTGAGAGAAGAGTGTAATGATTATGGGTTGAATGTGATGTTTTGTTTTTTGTGGCTAAAATAGTTTATTTTGTCTTTTGTGGCTAAAATAGCCAAAAAAGCCAAAAAAGCCCACTTTACTTCTTCCCAAACGGACCCTAAGAAATTATTTTTAAAACTCATAACCGAACACATAACTCGAAACTCCATACTATTTTCACAACTCTACACTCAAATTGTAACCAAATACATAACAAAAAAATTAAAATATTTAAAAATATTTTTATAAAATAGAGTTTGGATTTATTTTTATAAAATATTTTAAAATTTAAAAAATTAAAATCGTAATATTTTGAAATTAAAATATTTAAAAATATTCAAAAAATTTAAAAATTTAAAAAATCGTAACATAGTTAAATATTAAAATATTTAAAATCTTAATAAAATTAAAATATTGATTTAAATTGAATTTTTAAAAGAGTTTTGAATTATGTGTTTAGTTATGAGTTTTGAAAGTAATGATTATGTTTTGAATTAAGTTTTGAGAAATAAGTGTAGAATTATGATTTGAAAGCTTAAAACAAACAACACACTCAAATCAGTAGGTTTTTAGTTTTTTTACAAAAAAAATTATAAAAAGTTAGTTTTTTTACATAAAAAATTCACTAAAAAGTAAAAAAAAAAAAAAAAAAAACAACTTCCTAAAATACCAGTTCATGTGATTTGCAATATGATTTTTTTTTTTTTTTGCAGTTGACGGGGGGGTGTATGGTGTTGCCACCAAATAAAAGCTAAAAGCCTAACAGGGGCCACTTGATGATCCTTCCTGAAAAATTTAATTTCAAGAGGTTTGAAAATTACTAATTGATAGAATGATTTAAGTTTCAGCTTAATTTTTAACAAACAAAAAATTTGTTCACAATCACCTTGCATTTAACCTATTAACAGGTTATACGTACATATTTCTAATGTATTATTTATTTATTTTGATAGTAAATATGTATTACTTGTTTTTCTATTCATAAAAATAAAAATGCATTTAAAAAAATAAATATAAGTCAAATTATTGAATTTCATGTGTGTTAATTATTATTAGTGGGTTTTTGCCAGTGTTAATCAATCCCAAGTTTGAAAAAATAAGTTGATGGGAATTGTTTGGCAATTTTAAAAAAAGTCAACTTTTAATTAAAAAAATTAAAAAGTTTGATTGATATCAATTAAAAATCAGGTATTACATTAATTTTTTTACTCACAAAAAATTAATCAGTGTGTTTGGTTTTAATTTTTTGAATTTAATTTTTTTAAAAATTTTAATCAATTTTTTAAAATTTTTTTAGATACACCTTACTATTATTATTATTTTTTTGTTATGTAGAGTATCTTGGGTGAGGATACGCATATTTATTTATTTTTTTGTTGTTATGTAGAGTATCTTGAGTCAAGATACGCATACCAGATTAAGTCCCTTCAGCACAAACAAACCTTCCGAAACAGGACACAAACAAACCTTCCGAAACAGGACATATGCCTTACGGTTCATGGCCCCAAGGTATGCATTTGTTGGTTAGGGAATTCGAACCTGAGACTTGGGAGGGAGCAAACCTCCAGACCCTAGTCATGACCCACTAGGCCAACCACCATGTGGTTGGATACACCTTATTTAGATATATCTAAAAAATAAAATATTTGTGAAAAAATATTTTAAAAAATTAATAAACACACAAAAATATAAAAAAAGTACTGAATTTTTATATTTCTTTGACATTTTGTGAGTTTTTAAAGGTTTTTTTTTTTCACAAATATTATATTTTTTAGATATATCTAAGTAAGGTGTATGTAAAAATTAAAAAAATTATTTAACATATTAAAAAACTTTAGTGAAAAAAATGCAAAAAAATAAAAAAATAAATTTTTTTGAAAAGTAAAATTTGAAAATCAAACTAGACAGAGTGAATAATTTTTTTAATTAAACAATAATATTATAATAATTACGGTTGTGTATAATATCTTAGAACAAAAATGTATTTTTTTTTATTTATCACAACAACAAAAACATTGTAACATTATTTCATATCATTAATACCCGAAAACAAACAATTGTTCTTTCTTTCTTCATCATCTTTTTTTTTTTTTTTTTTTTAATGGCAAAAAAAAGAAAAAAAAAAAAAAGATTAAAAAAAGCTGATTTCTTCAGTTTTTTTTTTTTTTTTTTTTTAATGGCAAAGAAAAGAAACAAACAAACAAGATTGAAAAAGGCTGACTTCATTCTTACAAAGGGTAGTTCCGTCATTTTGACATTTTTGAATTAATGGCAAACCGGTAATTAATCGAACTGTCCGGGAAAAGAATGTCCGCGTTCAGGATTTACGATTATTCGCTTCAAATTTTGGGGTCGTTATTATTATCATCTCAACGCATCGCGCAGAGAGAGAGAGAGAGAGAGAGTCTCAGGAATAAGCGAAGAATGGTAAGTTATTCTCTTCCTCAGAGAGTTATTTTGAAATCTTCATCTCTCTTATATGCGTATAAAGTTGTGTGAATTCTTCTTTTTGCTTCCACGAATTTCAATGCCAATTTGTTCAAAAATCTTCATCTAATTGCAATCCCTCAAATCATTCATTTGTTTTTGTCCCTCTTTTCCACATGGCCTGTTTTTCATTTGGTTGGCCATATATCTAGGTCAATTTCGGAGAATAATCGGAGCATCTTGAGTAGTATCTAGGTCAATGTAGGAAATAAAATTATAGGCTTCCCTATTACTCCTCTGTGCCCTAAATGGACGGACTGCAATAATAATTTAAGTAACAGACATATTGACTGTGCATAAGCTTTGTTTTTCCTTCCCAGTTTTGTTTTTTGTTTTTTAATTTTTAATTTTAAAATTTTGTATTGCATCTCATGTATTTCTAATATGAATTTTGCTATGAATGTTACATCTAAATTTTATTTGTTATTTAATTACTATCAAATTGGATAAAATTATACACGCATTGCAGCAGCCGCTAGTATATATATACAATGCAAGAAAATAAGGTAGTCTAAAAATATGGGTGCAATTATAAAAATCTAATAAAAGCTGAGTTACAACTATTACCTGATTATGCAGTGAAATCAAGGTCCGGGAACTTTAGAAACTGGAGGGTGATATTTTGGATCATCCATTCCTATTAGAGTATTTTATTAATTTAGAACAATTTATTGGTTAGTCTTCATCTGTTTCCCTAGTGTAGCTGCAAGTTCAAATTCTTTAAAATAGTGATTTGTTCGTTTTAAGACACGGAACAATTTTAGTTGATATGTTTATCTGTTCTTGTGGTTGTTCAAGATACTCCCCTCTCACTCTTCTGTTGAGCTGACAGCAAGGTTTTAAAAAGCGGTCGCAACCGTTACGTAATGGTTGTGGCAGTTACCGCCACTCGTTACGGCTGCTTTTGCAGTGTGATTGAGATTCATAGGTGTATCGGCCGTAGCGGCTGCTATAGCGGTCGTAATGGTGCAGTAACGGCCTGTTACGCACTGTTACGTAACAGTTCCAAACTGTTTTTTTTCGAAAAAACATACAAAAAAAGCTGAAAATTGGGGAAGAGGGATAGAGAGAAGAGGGAAGATAAAGAGAGAAAATGGAGGAGCAAGAGATAAAGAGAGAGAGAAGAGGGAAGATGAAGAACATATTATTGATTTGTTGAAGTTGTAAAAACTATGCTATTCTATTCAGCTGCTATCACTAAACCATTTTGTTTTTGTGTGTCTATCTATATATTGTTTGAAAATAATAATAACAATAAGTGTGGTCATTATCTATTTGGCTTGGTTAAAATATGTATATATAATAATAATAATAATAATAATAAGTGTGGTCATTATCTATTTGGCTTGATTAATATATATATATATATATTTAGGCTCTTATTTATTCTCTTACATTTGTCATTGTTTATCTTATATATAATAGTTAGTGATTGATTTTTTGTATAATAGAAAGTCATTAATTATTAAAATAAAATGTAAAAAACTCAATTTATAGCGATTTAAAAATATGAAATATATTAGATCAAACTTAAAAATTTATAAAAATTAATCAATATTTATTTTAAAACCTAATAAATATGATCATGGAAAAAAAATGTGCGTATCGGTAAGTTTTTTTCAAATTGTGCGAAAAATAAAAAAAATTACGGTTCCGGTTACCACAACCGTTACGCTACGGCCTTTACACCCCGCAACAGCAACCGTGTCACCGCCACCATTACGGAGACAGCAACCGCTTTTCAGAACCTTGGCTGACAGTATACCGTACTTCCTATTGTATTTTTCAGATTGTAGTTGAAGTTTTTGTGACATGTTGTGCAGTAATCTGACTGATTTTACTTACAGGATGGACAAGATTCTGAAGATCCAAAGCAAAGCACTGCTGATATGACAGTTTTTGTAAGTCGCGTGATATGTGGTCCTCCTTATAAGAATTTTTGTGACTCTCTGGCTTTCATCTATCTAGCTGTGGTGATACTTTTCTGGTGATATGAAGCATACTTTAGGCATTTGGATTTGTTCTGCTCTTATTGTGACAACTCTTGGTTCAAATGCATAATACGTGTATATATATATATATACAATTTGAGAATTGGCATTCTTTATTCAATTTTGTATCTCCTTGGATGTGCATGTCAGCTTTTGATTGATAAAGCTTATCCCACTGTACATAATCTTTTGTTTTACTGTCTTCAAGAAAATAGATTGCTGAAAAAAGAACTGCTCTATCTGATAGAAGCATGTTAAAATATTTTTTTTTGCCTTTTTCTATAGTTTCAAAGCCTCAGAAATGACTGATTTGTTTAAATTGTTCTTTCAGGTACAAAACCTTCTTCAACAGATGGTGAGTTGTAATGTAGATCTTATGTTTTATAGTTGTAAAACTTCTACTGTTATTGATTTATTTATATCTCTTTTTTTCATTGTGCAGCAAGGGAGGTTCCAGACAATGTCTGAGTCCATCGTGACAAAAGATATCCTTTTCCTTCATTTTTTTTTCTTGATAGTTTGATGGGGTGATAGTTTTCAAATATTAGGATTCATAAGCATATGAGGGAAATAAAGCAATCTTCCAACCTAGGCCACATTTTGTTTTGGCTGAAAGAATTTAGTTGATCTCTCTTTTCTGTGATTCCCAAGACCATAGACGTGTCTGTTTCTCATCGTTGTCAAGCCTTTCATGAATTCCAGTAATACTAACTATGGTACATTGATGGATGCATGAGCTCTTTGAATTTATAACCATGTTTCATACACTTGCTGTGCCATTTGTTGATGGGGCTTAATGGGGCTGGAGTGAGGAGTCCTTGGGCCGTTCACAAACAGTTATTTGAACCTGGTTGATTATGGTCCAAACGCCATCATAGTAGGAGTGCAAAAAAGGTGTCTACTAAAATAATGGTGCCTTACCAAACCCTGACACAAATCTGCTTGTTGGAATATTATTTTTGCTTGAATGGGTAGTTCATTTGGGCCAATCCATTAATGATTGAACTCTCTCTCTCTCAAGATGCAATATGAGTAAATTGATCACAGATTGTGGTTTCAATCTACATGCTGGAACCTGTGGTAGAGTCACAAACTGCAATATGGATTTATTGCTCTGTGTCTAGATTCCAGATTATTTGGTTCTGCAGTTACTAATTCATAGTTTGCTATGTTAATGCTTTCTTATATGATGTACTGGTGTTTTTCCTTAATTGCAAAGTACTTGATGAAATGGGAGCCCGGATAAATGAATTGGAGCAGAGCATCAATGATCTCAGAGCGGAGATGGGAGCAGAGGGCTCTCCATCCCCTTTGCCACCGTCAAAGAAGCCCGATGATGTCAAGCTAGAGGAAGGTTCCGCGTAGAGTTGGTGGAATGTGTTGCAATGCCCATTGCCAGTTTAATTTCATGCTCACTTTTTTGGTTTACAAATCTTTGTTGGAGATTGAATACTGATTTTACATGAGATATTGAATCAGTGCGCTAGAAGTTTATGTATTAGATTCTTCTTGCTTCCGTATCCTGAGATTGCAAAGTTACAATTCATGTTTGTCTGTTCGATGTTACAACTGCCCTCATATGGTAATTAGGAGACATTTTAATCTGTTGTGCAAATTACTACATTTGTTCACGCTTGTGAAGAGATTGAAGTCATTTGGTTAAATTTGTTAGAATTGTAGGTGCTTTTTTTGATGGACATATCAGTACAGGCGAACGGAACAATCACCAATCAGTGATTTTGAATGGTGATTGGCCATGTCGGTTGTACTTACCTGAATTTCCATGGCTGGCGCTTTGCCATTTGAGATTTTTTTTTTTACCTTGTTTGATAAAGAACTTGTATGTGTCTATAGGTTAAAGTGTGTGTAAATGCCACCATATTTACATTTACTCTTTAGAGATGGGTCTAGAGTGATCATGATCATAAGGAATTTAATCAAAAAAGTCAAAATGTAATTGTAAATTGTCATATCATTCTTTTTATTTTATGTATGTATTTTTTTTAAAAATTAAAAAATTAATTAAAATATTGGCTAATTCCCAAAGGGGAAATATTTAAAACTCACACACGATTTTGAAGTTGCAAACCAACTAGAGGAGGTTTCCTAATGGGTATATTGTGATGATAACTTGCTCAACCAACTTTGATCATCACGAAAGGGGTAATTTTAAAGGCAATTCAAATCATCACATACAAAATTCAAACACACGATGACACCAATAATGGACTCCAATCACATCGAGAAATACCAATAAAAGTTAAGAGAGAATTTATACAGAGACAGAGTGAGTGTCACAGCCTCACTCATAGCTCCATTACGAATCAAAGAAAAATGGTGTGGGTGTGGGTGTGGGTGTGAGTTATCCTGTTCTCTTCTTTTCTATACTCTTGTCTCCAATTCCATCTCTATCACATGATGATGTTAGAAAAATTTTGTGGAAGAAAAGAGATTTGATCATATAATAAAGAGCAGATTTGTGATAGTGAAGTGGTTCATCAAATCATTTATGCAATGGAGCTTTGGGTTGTTCAGTTCCACAAGTCATCAACATGTTCGCACTTTCAAAAGAAAAGCAATCCCACTTGCCCCAAGCTAAAGCCGGCTTGTACGGCTTCATCACATGCCTCGTTTTTTTTCTTCATCACCTTGTCCTCAATTATGATTTTTTTTTTTAATAAAAAATAAAATTGTGTCTTGTAAATTTGACTCACAATAAATCAATATAATTTATTGATTTATTTTTTAAAATAATTTTTCTAAATATGTAAATTTTTTTTTGGAATTGAATATGTATATGTAATATTGTAAAAATGTGACTTTTATTAAAGCATCAACATCAGCCTCTCTACAATGGCTTTGAAGCCATTGTAGAGAGCATCAGCATCAGATATGTGATCCATCAGACTTGCTATACCCTTTGTTCATTTTGCCAACACTATAGTTCCTCCCTTGATGAAGAGAGCCACTGTTTATCGCTACAATAAGCAGATTAGGTGTTACCGGATGTCCGCCCAATCAACTAGTTACCGGCAAATTTATTTATTTATTTTTGTTGGGCATTTCCTCCAGTTTTACCTTTATAAAGGAACATAAGAATTATTTAGCTGGCAGCTCATCAATTTAATAAAAAAAGAAATAATAATAAATATAATAAGAAAATAATATTTTAATAAGATTGAGTTAGAATACAGAGTTTGATGTAGTGGGCACTAAAAGATAACTAGGTAAAATAGAAAAATAACTTTTTAAGTTATAATTTGACTAAGAATTTGAAGAGACTAGTGTGGATGCTCTTATGGCCTCGTTTGGAAAATTGGCTATTTTAATTTTTGACTATTTTAGTAGGTTAAAATATTTGTGTTTGGGAAAATAATTTTTTTTTGTAATTAGATGTGATATTTATGAGAGAAAAAGAAAACTGATTATAAATTTGATGTAATATTTTATATTATTAACTATTTTAACTTATTTTATATTTTTATAAATTTTAATCCAAAAAAAAAAAAAAAAATCCTTTCCCAAACACCCCCACATGTTCTGCTTTCGACAATGCAGAGAGAGGAAAATTACTAAAAACACTGTCCAAATTAGTGTAAGTCCCTCCTTTGCATATTGTGGCATGCTCATCTTGTGTGTTGATTGCATACTTGACTTACCATGTATTGTTGTTGCATGTTTAAGTGACACTTGCATTTGGCACGCATTTCCTTGACTAGGTTGAATAACATGTTGCATGCCTTACACACTTGCATGATTGGGTTACATCTTGCATGTTGATCATTAGCATAGTTATTACATGCTTGCATGCTTGCTAGCTTAGGTTGTGTGCCTAGCATACTTGTCTTCATGTTCATATTGCATGCCTAGTTCGCATGCCTAGGTTGCATTGCATTGGCATGCATGCTCTGCCTCTTGAATTGAGTATGATAGAGGTTGAGCGCATTATTTGTTTATGTGTATTTCATCCTACATTGAAAATGCACAACTTGGTTCCTTGGGCCATCACGCATTGAGATGCGCGATTGGTGGTCCGAGAATCGAATACCATGCCCCTTTGAGTCACAAACATGATATGGGGTGTGTTGGTGCACACATTTGCTTGGAATGCATTGTCATGCCTTGTTTTGCCCTCTGCTACTGTCAAAACAGGTTCTGCAGGAAGACTTGGCTAGTCGACTACATGGAGTGCCGACCGACCAATTATTGATGGCCGAGAGCTCAACAAATGGTCGATGACCATCCGGACATGGTCGGTGGGGTTTCCACTTGGTCGGTGGTGATCCACAGTGTCCATGGAGCATACCTTGGGAGTTGTGCAATTTTCAGAGTGCCCTCCTCTATAGACGTGTATGGAGGGATTTCACTCTTGCCTAGCTTACTTGAGAAGCTTTGCAAGAGTGAGTTCTATAAGACGGAGCCTCTTCTCCCTCCATTAGGGTTGACAAAAAAAGCTCCAGAGCTCTGAGTTTTAGGGTTAGGGTTTACATATACTCTATCTCTATATCTCTTCCTCCTTTTGGTGTATTAGTGTGTGTTTGTTCTTACTATTGCACACAAACACCTACCATTACACCTTTCCTTAGTTGCTGAGGCATTAGAGGGTTGATCTTGAACTTTTTAAGCTAGTTTTGATCCAAGAAGAGGTCTGATCTTGTGATCTTGGAAGTGTTCTTCAAGGGTGAGTGTTCTTGCCCTTTATTCCCCATTTTGCATAGCTATTTATTGTATGAAAAAAGACATTAATGAACATAAAAAAATATTTTTATGCTCCTAATCTGAA